ACATATACATATATATATATTTTTTTAATATAAATAAAAAAGATTAAAACTTAAAATAAATCAAAATTATTGAAATATGTGTACGTATCATATAATCTATTGCTAGCTTCTGCTAATTCAGTGGAAATTAATAAATTGGTTGACGCTCTTCAATATATTTGTATGTGTATATGTGTTGTATAAATGTGGCTTTTAATTTATGCCGATTGCGTGAAGATTTATTAAGATAATATTAATTACTGAAATGCACGATTTGTTTATGTCATCACTTATAGAACAGAATTAGTGCTGATCCCATTTGAGTTGATTGCAATTTGCAGCAGCCCTATATGACAGTTATTGAGCTGTAAAGATCTGTGCAATGCATTTTATTTATTTTTGTAATGGAATGAAATTTTAGTAGTGGCATATGCTATTAAATCTTATATAGATATCTATCGGTGTCAAAACTGCTGCCTATATTTTACTCTTAAAATTATCACTTATTGCTCATATAATAATAAATCAGACTCGAACACTTCGTTTCATAAAAGTACGTTAGAAAATTGCGATTAGCCACATCATATAATGCTACATTAGATAATGCGCTATCAAATCGTAAGTAAATTATACCACAAAGCTTGACATTTCATATAAAAAGGGTATATGATGTGACATGTTATCATATGATACCACAGCATACCTTCCTCCACACCGTATATCGCCTTAAATCGCCACTTTCATCATTTTCACTGATTCGTTTCATATAAATATGTATAAGCCATATCATATGATGTTTAATGATAGCAATTTATATCACAACATAAGCAAAAATGCATATGACGTGACTTTTCTTCAAAAAAAAATCATATGATGTCAGATCATAAGAAATAATACTGTTACAAAACGTTTAACGCTTCAAATTATCACAAAATAACAAATAATATTCTTCCGGTAGCAACACATTCGTTAATGTAATATCACATCGTTAGCATATTATTACTACAACGCGTCGCATCTTATTGAAAAATTTTAGATGACGAGACAAGTCATCATATGTGACCTGGTCTACGGAAAGGGGGCTTAGGTGTCAAAAAATCAATTTTCACTTTTTTGTGAACAAAAAAAAAAAAAAGCTGTTTCCCAGAAAACTAGTTTTCGCACGTTAGCTCCCTTCTCGTAGACCAGGTCACATATGATGTGACAGTTCGTGTAGCACAACAATGGTTCGCTCGCTTTCGTTCCCGAAATTTCGATGTGAAAGATAAACCTCGCTCTGACCGGCCTATCGATGAAAAAGTCGATGAAATTATGATAAAGATTGACCAGGACTATCACATAAGCAGCCATGACATCGCTAAGGAACTTAATATTCATTATCAAACGGTTTTGAACCATTTACAAAAGGCTGACTACAAAAAGAAGCTCAAAGTTTGGGTACCACATGAATCGTCTGTAAAATATTTAATAGACCGAATTAACACCTGCGATTCTTTGCTGCAACGAAATGAAATCGAACCATTTCTGAATCGAGAGGTAACAGGAGACGAAAAGTGGATCAAATACGACAATTTTGTGCGAAAAAGATCATGATCCAAGCGTGATGATGAAGTTCAACACATGGTCGCAAAGCCAGCATTGACGCCTTGATAGGTTATGCTAAGTGTTTGGTGGGATTGGAAAGGAATTATCGACTATGGTCGAACGATTGATTCTACATTTTACTGTCAACAATTGATAAGATGAAACAAGCAATCGAAAAAAAAAACCCAGAACTGATCAACAGAAACAGCTTTGTCTTCCCTCAGGACAACGCTAGACCACACCCATTCTTGATGACTCGGCAAAAACTGTTAGAACTTCGCTTCAATTATAGATATATTAAATCATGTAGAGTACATATATCACATCACAAGTTCAGGCATCTAAGGCATGTTTAATTCCATCAAATTTGTGAGTAAAATATTTCAGCGATTGTGCAATATATAAATTATTTATTTGCGGTCAAAAGGCCTGTATCAAGCAAAATAATCAATTTACATGGAATTCTGCTATCACGATCGATCGTTGCGCTGGGTTTTGCGCTCATTATAGTTGGTTATTTATAGTTTCGAATACGTAGTCGCAACAAATAATAATATGAAACTGTAATTATCAGAAATTATAAGAGAATTAACTATGCTGGTCCAGAGTAAGGCATAAAACAGCCTTTTAAGTTGCCAGATCACTGCTGTATATTTCAAGCTGTGGTCTTATCCCGCAATAGCAAGACTAAGCTGTAAGCATCGGGGCTCCGCACGGTATGATATTCTAAAGGAGGTATCGATAATGAGGCCGCAAAGTCTGCTAAAATTCGAGTCAAGGACAGGCATCCTAAAGGATGACTACTCCACTAGGATCTAGCGACTGAACTCCATCTAGTGCCGACCAGGATCGAAACTTGTCTGTGCGTGGCTTACCCGATTAACCTAACCTAACCCAACTATACTGGAGTTTAACAAATAAATGCTTGATTGAGCCTAACCTAACTCGCATTAAATCTAACGCTTCGTTTTTCTTTGAATAGTGCCGCTAGAGTTGCTCAGATCGATAAC